ACAGTAGGAACCAACTTGCTCTTCCAAGTAACATAAACATGGTGTCACTACTGTATATCTGCCACAAACAGTAGCAAGATGTAGTGCAGACAGTGGATCTCAGACCTGGCAGATAATCTTCCTGAACAGTAGACAGGCCCTTGGGACACCTCTGATAATGCAACATTAATCTGTGGAGGTGATTAGGGTTGCTACAGCAAGTTTGCAGCTGTGATGGGAAAAGAAAAAGGTCTACTTTTTTGCCTGAAAGCATGTCAAGTGCTGTTTAGCACAATACCGCTTAGCACAATAATCCATCAAATGATCCCTGTGGTATTTACTAAATCTTCATTAAGTTGAACATGCAGAATAGTTATGGAGCTTGTAAACAGGCATGTTAATTCAATGACACAGCACTGTTGCTATCACATAATCTTGTGAGATACATCAGTGCTGCATCTGGTGAGAAGAGAAAAAGATGCAGAAGTGTCAGAAATTGAAAAGGTTCCTGAAGAACAAGGAAAGAAACCAATTATTTTATCTAAACACTTGAACAATGTGGAAAAACAAAACAAAACAAACAAACAAACAAAAACATAGGTGGGAAAAAAAATGTTACTCCCTCAAATTTACTTATAGTACAGGAAAGATACCCTTGATAGGGTTTTCTTAGCTGGCTTAACAAGTTACTTCAGGGACCTGAATCTGAAACTGCATGACAGAAATCAGACCAGTATTAATATTCAAAGGAAGCATTATATCCTCACAAGGAAATTGAGAGTATTCACAGATGACCATGAAAGGAACAAATTCCATTACTTTTCTCAGCCACAATGATTTTATTTCAGCTGAAAATTATGAAGCATGCACTGCTATTGTTCCTGCCTTTCAGAATCAACTGCTGGAAATTGTCAGACAATATGAGGATTTCAGAAAAATAAAAAGAGTGTTTCTTTTCAAAGAAGCACAATTGTAAATGCTTCATGGAACAATAAAAGTGCTATTACTGGTAAATATGCCACCCAATCAGAGCTACACATTTCTAACACAACACAAAAGACAGTCATTTAAAAACTGCAAAAGAGCAAGGATATTGAGTAGCCAGAAACAAAATTTTCCCTATAAGCAAAGACTGTGGTATCAGCAAGATTCTAATCAGGATTAGGCACACTGTCAGAAGTTCAAACAGTTGGGAAAAGTTAAGATTTTCACTAGCTTGTAGAAATTCCGGTAAGTAATGAGAAAGACACAACAGTAAAGTTAACTTAAATAAAGTGTTTGTAAATGACTACAGAATTCTATTTAAATAGGAGGATTTCAACAAATAAAATTTTGTGACGCTAGGCAAGTGTTAGTAAAAAGATAAAACATAAAAATAAATAAATAAATAAAAGATATGACATCCATTTCTGAGGATTTTTCCAGAGCTGTTTATAGTGACAACAAATAAGTTCCTTAAAGATCTTACATTTTCTCCTAATTATTTGTTTTCAGTGCATAATAAGTTTCAGTGCAAGTCAGTGCCGAGTGCAACAAACCACAGCCATTTTTAACAGGCTGAAAATACCTCCTTCAATTTGTACATAAATGTGGATTCACCTCTGAAGTTCTCATCTAGAGAAGACCTTATTTCCTAGATACAAGCTTCACCAACATATTTCCACACCAAAAATAATATAATTTTATTTCATAAAAGATATGGCAAACATATATCTAATTTCATAAAAGAAGTCCAATTATAAGCTCCTGATAGGACTTATACTATGTGTGTATCACACTGAGATGGCAGCTGAGGAATAAATGACAATGCAAAAAAGGTGTTCTACATATTCTCATATCTAGTGCAGCCAAGGCCTCCCTCTGCTACAAAAATAATTATTATAAGGGAAAAATAGAAATCAAGTGTACAAGTTTAGTTTTAAGGGACACAGCTAAAAAATATGATCCACGTCTTCCCTGATCTTATAGAAAGCTATCCCACATGTTACTTAGTAGGTATCAGAATTCCTTAGCTGAAGGGCTTCTGAGTCCTAAAACCTTGTGAGACACCTTTCATTTCTCTGCAACCAGGAAGCTGACTTGTGCTTTGTGTTTTTGCCCTGCTGGGGCATCCCCAACTATGTTCAATTTTTCCCCAGAGAAGTGGGGCAATGTGTATGTTCCTTATACTGTCTCATTCAGCCAGTGTGCAGTAGTAAAGACAGAGAGAGTGACCAGCCTGTAGCCAAGGTGTAGAGGGAACTGGACTTCTCTTCTGGCCATATGGAAAACGGCACAACAGCTGAGGCCTCATGAAGTGCAAGGTAAAACCAAATGAGTTATGAGCTCCTTTATTTTTGGCAATGACATGAGAAAGAAAATTCTAATCTAGGTCTTAAGTAGCATTACATTTTCTGTAGTCCATGTTATTGACTCCACTGAGAAAAAAAAAAAAAAAAAAAAAAAAAAAGATGCAAAATTAAGCATTATATCAGAACATCTCAGCTAAAAATAAATTTTTCTAATGCTTACTTACAAGTAGCATTTCCAACTAGGAATTAAAATTTAAAGAGGGGATGAGAGTGAAGATGGAAATTTGAATAAATTCATATTGCTGGATAATTTCAAAGCACTTGCTGTGAAATCTGGTCCCACTGAGCAAGATGGAATGGTGGGTTCGGAACACAGCCATTCTGGGTTGCTGTGAGACATACTGACACCTACATGGGGGATGACAGCTTGTCATACTGAAAGTGCTAATGACTGCCACCAAGAGCGTCTGCACTTACAAGCAATCACAGACATCATTAAATCCAATGGGTGGGCCAACTTTTATTTCAGGGCCAAATGGAAGGAGCAATTAAGCCCACAGAGAAGCACATATGACATGTCAGCAGCTGTTACAAAAAAAAAAAAAAAAAAAAAAAAAAAAAGGATAAAAGTAAGCTTGCTTCCCTCATCTCTGCTAAAGCAGGGTCTATCTAGTGCCAGCTCCCTCTGGAGAAGGTATATGCAATATGTTGAACGATGAGAACATGGACTGTCATTCTATTACTAACGCATGCTGAGAACAGCACATTTTCAGAAACTATTTAAAGCAAGAGGAGAAAAACTGAATGGAAATGAATAGGTGGTGATCTCCAAGAGTAGATAAAAAATGCAGTATCTCAGAGAGACCCCAAAGAAGACAGACTGTTTAATCCTTCAAAGTAATCCTGAACTTTCAAGGAATACATGACGACACCCTGTATTTGTTATTCCAGTTCTGAAGAAGAAGGGAAACTGCTGCTTCTGTAATGCCATGGTCTTAGACCTACCTGATCTTTTGCATGTTTAGAAAATGTAAAAGTACTACAAGATTAATAAGTCATATCAGAAAGAGTATACTTAAGAACACAAGTAAAGAAAGAAGTGGCAAAATTAGGGTTAATTCTGTGCCCTTTGTCAATGTCTATTGCTGCTGTAGAGTCCCAGTGTCTTCAAAAGTGATTCAGTACTACTGCTCCATGTGCTTATGGAAGATGTAGGATGCCTACTGGGCTTTGGGCATGTATACTCCAGCTACAGTTTCAGTAGGATCTATCTTTCTCTTCTAACAAGCCACATGCAGACAAAGCAAGCAGAATGTTGACATTGTATAGACTATAGCAATCCTACCAACATTTAGCTGGAGTGACTCATGCCACTGAAAAGATACATGTGGAACAGGGGCTCCTTTGATGAAAATGGCGCTTGCATATTGATGTAAAAATGTCAAAAACAGACATCCTCAGACTTAATGTGGGGTTAGCAACAGGAAATGGAAAAAGAGTGACATATTTGGGGAAGTTGGATTATCTTATTGTTGTATTATTAGCTGTAGAAAGGTATCACAATTGGCACTAGGAATGAGGGATGTCTTTGGTACAGTGTAAGGATAAGTACAGAAACATGAGTCAGACAAGGAGATAGGTCAGAGCAGAGAGGCATTGCAGTTGGAATGGCAAACAAAGGCTAGAGGAGAGCTAGCAAGCTTGTGAAGCCTAACCCCTATTCCTGCTGCTTGGCCCTATTGAGGCCTCATAAGGTTAAAAACACCTTTCCTGTGATTCATCCGTGAGCCCATATCACTAAGGATTGCCTTAGCGCAGAGTGTGACATCAACCTCCTCCAGACCAGCCTAATGCTACCATCTCTCTCAAGGTAGAAGTCAGTACCACCACAAGTCTGGGCTAAATATGTTTACTTTACCATCTTAGAACATCATTCTGTTGCCACAACAGAAAGCAATTAAAAATGTGGTGTGCAAAGATGAAAGGCATAACTCTGTACAGCAGGGGTAACACTCTCCACTCCGTCTCTAAGTCAGTCACAGTGGGAACATTCCTTTCTGTATTTTGTTATGGGAAGGGAAGGGGAGGGAGAATTTAGCATTCATTACTTTTAAAAAATTTTTCAGAACACAATATGTTTGAGGAAATAAAGGTGTAGTTTAAAAGAGGTTGTAAATGAGGACACATTTAAGAAATCAAAGGTATCCCAAATGAAAACATTACAGAATATTCATTAGGGATCAAATGATGAATGAATGGCCCAGGAGCACACACAGACTTTTGAAAAACTCTGGAAATTAGTGATAGAAAAGAGATCCTAAGGGCATTTGCCTGCAAACATGATAGCCAAGCAACCACACCTGGCAATCCAGTACATGTTTTCTATGGTTTGTCCTGCTCTTCCAGAATGAGGGGGACTGGAGATATATACGATGGGTAAAGACAGATAAAATCAGTTTGTCAGAGAGGGAGGCCTAGCATCATAAACTGTGGTGTGGAATTATGTATTCCTTTAGAATACAGATACTCAAATGTCAGTGCATGGAGTTATAAGTTAAAGATTTTTAGTAAGTAATGTTCTACTATAATATGTTGATAATTCCAGTTATTTTCACAGTTTCAGAAATATATGTTCAAGAGATGGATTTAAATAAGTTGAGATATATATACATATGCAATACTTGTATTTAGTTTAATGTTTAAGCAGCTGTGTCATTGTTAAAAAACAATACTATTATGATAAATTCATTGCATATATTTTAATTAATACTCAAATATTTTAGTGTTAAATACATGTTTTTTATATCTAGGATTGGATTATTAATGAATCCTTGGAAACTCTTTAATACAAAATAACATTGAGAATAAGGTTTCACATACTTGAAGTTGAAATGTAGAAATGCTCATTTAATTAGATTGTTAATCGTGGAAATCCAAATAATGAAATTGAAGATTTGATACTAAAGAAACAAACAACAACAGTTACAAAATGTACAGACAGTTGCTGTTTTTGAATGTTGCAAGTGGAACTCAACAGCTGACAGACCTAGATTTCAAAGCAATTATCTTCACAATAGCTTTTGATTCATTCACAAAAAAAAAAAAAAAAAAAAAAAAGAATGTGTGTGGAAAAAAAAAGAAAAAGCTTATGAAATATGAATAACAAAGCTTTCAAGCAGTGGGGGGGAAAAATAAATAATAAAATAAACTAGCAATTTCTGACCATCCTACATGATAAAAAATGTCACTTACAACCTCAAAACAATCCCAAACTTGTGTTGCAGAGTGGGGAAAGTGACTGCCAGTGACTGGCCTCTTCAAAATGAATAAAAAACAAAAAAGATGCCTCACACATATGTGTCAGTGACCCCACACTCTGTATATTTTTCAGGTGTGATTGTAAGTGATGTCTCCAAAGCCTGGTTCCATTGACCAATACATATGTAAAGATATTCAACAAGACAGCCATAACTTAGATATTAGTTTCTTTCTACTGTTACATACTAGTGCAAATCTCATTCTAACAAGTATCTTGACATTAAAAATAAATAAATAAACAAATAAAAAAACCCACCAACTACTATAAAACAATTCAGGAAGCTACCAAGACACCTTAGTACATGAGCTTCGTTAAGATATTAGCAATTATTCCTGCCTCGTCCAGGTAACTATGGCTTTTTTTTGTTTGTTTTTGTTTTTTGTTGTTTGTTTTTTGCTTGTTTTATTTTTAAAAGCTTCTGCCAACACAGATATCTTCTGCTTTATATGCAAGGATCTTGCTGTTTAACTTGACTGATTACTCACTACAGGGTAGATATCATCTGTAACACCTGTGATAGTAACATCATCCAAGGATCAAGAGGTCCCAAATAGATGACATTCTCAATTTGGAAACAAATCAAGAATTAATCAATTCCCAGAGAAAACAACAGGAGAAATGTAATTGTTCTTCTTTCAAAGAGGATTTTTTTTCCCTGTGAAATCTCTGAAGGATTTGGATCTATTGTTATAAGTACTAACTAGGACAGCATGTGCCTAATGAAGAGTTCTCTTGTCTTAAGCTCAGTGTTGTGAATTTGCTCATCTGGAATCACAACAAATTTGTGTCAACATTTCTGATCTTACTGTGTGACAAACTTCTCAAATCAGCAGGTACAAACTCTACATTTCCAAGATTAAATTCTCATTTCAGGTAAACTGAGAAATGAAGTAACAACACAGGTTACTTTTTTTTTTCTTTTTTTTCTTTTTTTTTATATAATAGATCATAACCATTAGAAGTACAGCTGTTTCTCTATAATTCTCTCAGCCATTGTCTTGTTTGTGTGTGGATTTTAAATGGAGTGTTCCATTAGCTTCTATTGCTTGCATTTCAACAGCCATTCAAAGTCAATGAAGTCTGTGAAAGTTTCTAGCAGTGACAGATTTATGCAGGAGTGATAAGAAAATAGAATACGTACCTAATATTTGCTTGTTGAATTTTCTCTAGATTGTTTTTTAAAATTTTAATATTTTTTTTTGGCATGGCACAGACAACAGAGAGGCTGAACTCTAGTACCATTTGCATGGTCAGTGGATTACCTATCCATTTTGTGACCATGGAACAACACGGACTTTACCCTAAAATCCCAGACCCCTATTCATGCTGACTTATATTGTGGAACCAAACTAGGCCACCACGTATGAGAAAGATTGCTTTTTTGGCTGCTTGCCACAGTAGTATGTACAGATACACAGTTTTATACTACAGAACAGAGGATGTACAGTCTGTATCTTCACATACAGTCCAAGCTTAAGTCTAAGACCTGTCTGTCCCTCATTAGTTCTTCACAGCATCTCCACAATCTTTTCCATCTTCAAATTCATTGTACAAGAAAAGCAACATCCAGTAGACTGAAGGGGCCCTCTGACCGATGTTGACCTGCAGTGAACATGCAAGAAATGAGTGACACAGGACATGAAGATGATAGTCTTCTGGTTAAATATTTGGCTAGATTCAACGGAAAAGTAGCACTTGTTTTAAAGTAAAAAGTAAAAACTAAAAGCAATCTATGTTCATATCAAAGAAGAAAATTGTCTTTTGAGGACATACATGCCCAATTTTTGATTGGCAAAATTTTACTTTCTGGAGTAAAGAGACCAGAATCAAGCTTTTGTTGGTCCATGATCATTGATGAGGTTCAAAATGTTTACCAAAGAATATAGTGAGACAGGCAGTTTTAGAGAGACTGCTTCAGTCAAAGTCTCCACCTTCCCTGTTCAGCAGACATAACCAAGACAGGACTACTGAGGCCAGAGCAGATGTTTGCTGAACTCTGGCAAGCAAGAGGGAAAACTGAGTACCCAGGGCAAGGACATTCTCCACTGATGGCCTTCAGTCAGTCCTGGCCGATTGTGGAAGCAAAAGTTCAGGTTGTTTCAAGGGGGCCTGGGAAGTCTTTTTTTCAACCTTCCCTCTGGAATGAGACTTCCTGTGTTTCTAAACCTTGAAAGAGTAGCTACAGATAATCTAATGCATGTTAGAATGAGACTATCAGCAGTGCTTTTCTCAGACCAGTGTTCCAAACTATATATGTTTAAACCTTGAAATAAGATAAAGGGATAAGATCTGCAGGTGTTTCCTGAGTTGAATTTCTAGATTTATATGCAGAATGAAGGAAGAAGAATAAAGGAGAACCTGAAAATCAATACACTCCCCCACAGTATTTTTGTGCCCTGAGAGGAAAAAGTCTCGAAAATCTCCTTTAGCAGAGTGAGGAAGCAGAGTCATGGAACAGGCTGGAAAGACAGTGATATTCCAGTCCCACCCATAGTTCCTAAAACTCTTCACAGCTCTCCCAAATAGAATCATGTTCTCCTCCATCTACTTGCTGCATCTACTTCAAGCTCTGTTTTGCACATATTGCTCAACTCTAGAGGAAAGTGTCTTATTTTTTACGACATTCAGAAAAGAGTACTTGGCAAAGCATTTCACACTGTCCCTGTACTGCACTTGCTGATCCATATACAGTATTCTTGAACTTAATATACTATTCTGCTTTTTGCTTTTTTTGTCTTATTTTTAAAAAAAATCCAAATGTATACATTCTAAAACCATACACAAACAACACATGCAAAAGTTAATATCTAAGCATGTCTCAACATTCCTCATTCTATGGCTATACCATATAGCATACAGGATACAGTTGTAGTTATACACCTAGGAATTGTTCTGCGTAAGTGTACCTTCCATCGTATCCTCTTGATATCTGTGAGGCTGTGCTATAAACTTGACCAGAAAACCTTGCTGACTAAAAGTAGCCCCCAAATAGTCATTCTTCAGGCAGATTAATTTTTGACCTCTTCCTTGGAACAGTGATGTGAAATACACATTCACTTTACAAAAGATAGACACTTGGGGAATGGAGGAGACATACATTCACACTCCTACAAACAATATTAAGCTTGCCTGGATACTGAAGAAGGAAATATTGCATCAGACAGCGCTCAACTGTCACAGCTTTTGCAGATTTCAGGTTTCACTGTTCTGTCTTGAACTGGTAAATACATCCCTGGTTTTCGGACTGACACATGAGGGTGGAATATTTAAAACATTTAGTGCAAGCTGCAATTTTCTGTTTCAGTTCATCTTTTGTTTTCTTGACAAAGAACAATCCAGGATTGCTGCAACATCGTCCTATTACCACTCCTATTACTTTAAAGAAAAATGTCAGAAAATGTCAGACTTCATGTTTTCAGATATTCAGTGATAATTTTTCAGAGGGTCCTTCATTGTATCTTCCAGCTACGGAAATGACGTTTCAGTAGTGTAAGAATGAGGACCAAAGCTGGTGTACTATCTTATTAATCAGTTGACTATCATATGTGGATGAAAACTCTTTTATTTTTTTGTATTTTCATCTTGTTAGCAGATTATGTCCTGCAATTCACACAATTTCAGATTCCTCAGGCTTCTGAGGAATATCATTCTTGATTGTTCTATGTTTAGAATGAGATATTTTAGAATGAGATATGGCAAGACAGAAAGCAACTTCTGAGACATTAATCCTCAGACCATTATCTCAAAATGTGGACTGTAGCATGACACTGACATTTGACAGGTTTCTTTTCAAGCTCACCTAGTTCTGTATAAAGCCAGTTGTCATCTGGTCACTAATCTGCTTACTACACAGCATGCACGTTTATGCATAGACACAATTCGCGAGACATTTTTGAATGAGCTCCCCTTAAAATAAATAAATAAATCTTTCAAGCAAAAAGAAACCAGCAGAAGTGAGAATGGAACTAGTGTTACTGATTAAATACAAAATGGGCTGTGAGGAGATAAGCAAGCAATGAAGTTCAAAGGTAAGGCCTTGCAGAATAAGGTCAAGAGGAAATACCAAGAGAACTGCATACAGCACAGCTACACTTAATGACTGAAAATGAAGACTATCCAGAGTGTTCTATAAACAGTCGTTTGACAAAACAGCATTAAACCTATAAAGAACTCTGCAAACTAAGCTTACTATGAATGTTGATTAGCCAGCAAATTTAATCCAGCAGAAAGAACAAAAGTAGAAAGTCAACAGAATATAATGAACAGAAAAACAAACACCTTCAACAAAATCACTAATGCTTTCCTAAGGAGTTTCTTAATGATTTGTGTAGTATGTAAAACTAAATACACAATAACAAATACGGTAATTGTTCCTGCGGTGGTTGCAATGTGTCACATTAAGAATGTGACAATGTATTGGAGGGGATGAACCTGAAGATGATGATGAAGATGATGATGAAGATGAAGATTAAGATGAAATGAACAACCCCTTCACAATGTTCTGGTGTTCACATACATTAAAAATTTTGTTAAATGTATAAACATTCAAATGATTTAATGTTCTCAGACTAATTCCAAAAGATTCTTTGCTTCTCTTAGTCTGCAGCCACATCTAACTCAACTTATGTGTCTGCTACTTCTGTGGGAGATGGCTACAATTCACTTCAAAGAAAGACAATAGAGTAAGAAATACTGTGTCACAGTGAAAGTTTCACACACAACAAATTGCTGTGGTTAGGTGTGCTGTATTGGTGCAGCACAATAATAGGTGTGTAACGGATAAGAAACCACAAAGAATTATTAACAGCCCCTCTTGATTCATGGATTTATTTTTATTTTTTATTTAGTAGGTGTGATAAAATATAAAATAATTTGTGTTATGTAACAGCTATTTTATGGAAAAACCTTGATGGTCTTCAACTGAAAGATGAACTTTGCTTATTTTTGAAATGTAATCAGCTTTCAAAGAGCGCCCATCAAAATGGCATTCAGCTGTAACAAGACACATCTCAAAAATTGCACTCACCAAATGTTTTATTTCAATATCTCAATGCTAGTAGATTATTATTAAAGATTAAAACTGATCAACTCTTGCAGAAACTACCCCAGCAGATGGCTGGAAAACAGCAATGTGCAATGTCTCCCATCTTGATAGTTTAAGAGGATAACCTGGTCCAACTTTAAACTGTAGGACAAATTAAAGTTTTTTTATTTCATAAGCTTTCATAATTAGTTTTAGCTATAAAGATATTTTCACTCAATAAATGGCCATAGCGAACAGTTATTTGCCAAGTTTGAAGTAGATTAAGCTATCTTGAAGTAGAGATCAATTCAATTAGTCTGACTACTCAGTTAGTCCTTTGTAACATTTTCTCAAAGCAATTTGGATTGTCCAAAATTACAGAATTACAGAAATTTGATCAAGTAGAAAGACATAATTGGCTGGGCTAGCACTACTGTGGTTCACAGATCACAGTCATCCATCCTTTTTGTAAAACATTTCAACACTTAAAATATACGGCACTTCATGCTTATTTAGCTCATTTGATTTCATGACTTCTTGAGTACATGGCTTAATGAAAGATAAGTTAACTTTCTTTATGGCACTCATTTTATATCTAGATAGGGGAGGCGATCCTGTACTACTGATGAACAGAGCAGATTACAGGGCAGCAGGAAACAATTTTAAATTTGGACCTGTCAAATTTGTGGGGCCGAAGACAAGAACAAGTTCCAACAGCTCTGTCTTTTCTTACATTTGATGATTTCATCTGACTGCCTCACAGAGAAGACAGCAAACTGTCTTCTGTATTAAAAAATTAATACTGTAAACAGCTCCCACAGACATCAACAATTAATTTTTCAGACAGCTGTTAGCACATCTACTCAGTTCATCCTCCACTCCACATCCTCCACTATTAGCTTTGCTGAAGGCCTCCCGTACACAGTTTTTCTGAAGTGTCAAGGTTCAGATCTTATTTTCCGCTCTGATTTTGAGGAAAACAAAAATAATTTGACAAAAGAGAAATACTGTGTAGCTCCTCCCAAATGCATTAGATGTTTATTTCAATATGTATAATTATTGCTATGTCAAAAATGGCTAAAATAAATTAAATTCCCCATCCCACATTGGTAGGATCTTTTGTTTAAGGTTTACATACTATTCTTTTATAGGTCCATCCCACACAGAAACACTTATTTTCTACAAGTGAGGATGCATTGCTTGTCAAAATGAGACAAAAGCTTCCATGAGCTGAAGTCGCATTACTGGAAATTATCAATGCATAACAACAAATTTGAGTTGTAAGATTTTGCAACTTTTATATCTCATGAGCAACATGATAGAAATCAGAATTACAGACAACCACTTCACTCTTATAACAGAACTCAAGTGAACTGAAATGGTTTTTAATCAAACAGGCATGTAGGCCGCAAATATTCACTGAACAATAACTATTTCAATACCTCATTTACTTCTGTTAAACCCTGTTTTTGCATTTAAACAGTAACGAGCTTCCTATAATACTGGCCATATGTTAAACTAATCATTACCATTGTTTTATTTCATAAAAGCATATTTAATTTCAGTAAAGTTATGGCCT